CTGCTGAAGGGCTTAGCTGCTCAGATATGCTCATATTAGATTCCCTTTTTCCTCACAAGAAGCATGAAGCCAATTTGAAAAGATTATCCAAATTTGTACAATTTACAAACACTGAGAGCCACATGGAAATTCAGACCTGCCAGAAAATTTCCAGCCCAAGCTGGAATGTGCCCAGCTACTTCTCAGTGCAGTTAGTTAGAGCTTTATCAGAGATACACAGCATTCAATCAGAGTAATTAAAAATAGCCAAGGAATAACTAGCATATGAGAACTATCAGGAGCAGGCACTGATTACTAGCTAACCGTTGTAATTTCTGTATTCTTGGAACAAACCTGTTCACCATACCTGATTACGCCTGTTCTCAAGCAAAGATGTCTCATACAATTGAGCGTTGTGAAGAACAATTCCACAAAATGCCAAATACGCAGCAAAATCCTGAAGAAAAATGAACATCAACACCTCATGAAGATAAAGTCTCACAGCATCTTAACTCTATTCCAAGATACTGCAATATTTTGTTTTCATTTTGAAGTATTAATTGATACAAGTTGGTTTTGGAATTTGGCAACCACACATTCAGTTGTTGGTTGGTTTTTTTTCCAGTTACTCATAATTTGTTATTTTCTCAAGAATCTCTTCTCCCTTTTTTAAACTAATAATCTTCATACTTTATCCTGGTAAAAGCAGGATTGATATAAGAAGCAGCTCAAAGGAATCAGCTCATTTTGGAGCAATGCATATTTTATCTAGAAAAACTGAGTGCAGACAATCAGCCTCTCATTTTGGGGAATTCAATCTCTTGGAAAGTGTAAATAAAATTCTGCTAACATAGCAAAACCACAAATTTTTTTCCCTTTCTGAAAGGGATTAATTCTGATATCTTGCAGATACTCAGTATGCATTTTGTTTTAAAGGAGAAGTTTTCAAAGCAGAAAGGTGAATTCTGATTTTTTTTATTGCTGAGACTTAAGTCAACTTCTTCAACCTGAGTGCAGCCTGTTTTTTTGCTATATCAATCTGAATGTGAAGTCTGGAAATGTTTGGAAAACAACTGCAGTGTGAGAGTTAGGAATCAAGGTGCTGTCTGCTCTACTGATTATCTCATATATATTTCATAATTTATCCAGAGCTTTTTCTCGTCCTGCAATTGCTATATTGAGACGCGATACCGTATTTAAAAAAGAATCACTACACAAATTTTAATATTCAAAATATTCAAAACTCAGGAGAGTTAAAAGCAGTTAATAAAAAATTATGTCTATTAAAAGTTATGAAACTGTTTTACAATGCATTTCAGTACAGTAAGCCTGTGTTTCAGAGATATATGAGAGATACCATGCTGATCCAGAGATTAAACTATTTCACATCCACATTTTTCATGGCCTCATAAAGACATTTGTAGTCTTACTAGAAATTTTTACTTTTTCAGAGGTATTTAATTTTTAAAAACTAAAACTTCTGATCAGCATGAAAAGTAGCAACATATCCATCCCCCATTCCCCTAGGAAAACAGAAGAGAAATAAATGTCCAGCTTTTATACCTTTTCATCTTGCTCAGTGAAAGTGCCACCAATTCCAGATTTCTTATTGATTGCTTGAGCCACACCAACAACCTAGGGTATTCAAAATGGAGTAATTAGGTAATTTTTAGGAGTCTGTCATTGGATTGTATTTCTAGACATATTTATAGAAGAAAATAAATGTTCACTACAGGTATTCATTTGGTTGACCTTTGGATAACAGAAGATATTTAAGCCTGTTTTTTCCTAATTTATTAATATTACAAATAGCTGAGCATGAACCTGAAATATCCAAAGAGTTAAGTGGCATGAGTCCTGGATGCTCTTATGAAGAGGAGCTGATTTGATCCAAAATTGATTCTATAAATTGGAACAATCATCTTCCAGAAAGACAACAACAGTTTTACACTTCTGCAGCCATAAGCCCGATCATACAACAGCTCTCTCTGAAGTTAATCTGCTTGTGTGTGTAGAAAAATACCTTTCCTGCTAGCTCTGATAAAATGACCAAAACATAGCCTCCTGACCAGATCTAGAGTTTGGCTACAGTGATCTTTTTGCATTTTGTATCTCTCCGAATCTGACAGGATTAATTTTCATCTGCTCAAAAAAAGAGGACAAAGGTTGTTTTCCTGCCAGACTCAAGTTTGTTACTCAAACTTAGTATGTTTTTAAAGGTAGGCTTTTACTAAGACCACATTAAACCAACACTGACAAGAGAGATTTTGTTATGGTTCAGCTGGTAGTTAGACTGTCCTTGCCAAGATACGCTGATAACTCAACATTTTTAATTACTTTCTCTATGGAGCAACCCATAGGAGGTAGGGAAGAATCCTGGTTTACAGGTAAAGCAGCTAAGCAAAGGGTAAAAAGTCATTCACAGGTCCTGCAGGACATCTGTGATCGACCTAAGAAGCAAACCCATATGCCCTGATCAACATTAGAGGCTTTCCATTCAGTAGTTCTTTCTGCTTTTGGCACAAGGCTTAAGCCCTCTCTTTCAAATGGACTATGTGTTAAGATCACCAGCCAAGAGGCTTCATAAATTAAATAAGTAAATCAGTGCTCAGATAGTAACAAGGAGGGTTTACTTGAACTGGAAAAAAAATGACTATGATTTATGAAATAAAGACATTAGCAGACCAGCTCCATTTACTTGCTTTGTTGGCTTGTCTCCTTTTGGATTTGGAAGTGGAAGAAAATGGAATCCATGTAACAATAAACCAAGCCAGATTATACATCTAGTTTTATTCTTACAAAATTCTGTCTAAATTCTGTTAAATTTCAGATGATGCTTTTTTAGTATAGAAATAATCAGTGGTAAGATTTGATTTCAGATTTCTGGACATAATTCCATAAAGTGGGAGATTAAAACATGATTTCTTACAAAGTAGAAAACAGTCCCTTTAAGGACAGTCAATCAAAGTCCAAGCTACTGTTGCTTTTGTAACTTTCTATATAGAGGATAGTTAGCCAATAAACATGATTTCTCCATACAGGCTGTTGGTTTAGATTTTTAAAAAATGTAAAATGAATGTGAGAGAACAACACAGCTGTTGAAGCATGATGCTTATGTTACTAGAGTTCAATTCTACATGCTGGTGAGAGCCTCCCAGGAAACCAATCTGCCCTGCAAACAGCAGAACGCCCTATAAAAATGAAAATGGAATTCAGATCTTTGCTTAGTACTGATTCCAGTTTCTAACGCAGGCTCTAACTGTGACATTTGGGGAGAGATGAAATTGGGTGGTTGCTTTGGACTTACTCTTACATACTGAACATAGATGTCTTCTCTGGTAACTTGGATCTGTTTTCAGAGTCCAAGGAAGACAAGAGAATTTAAAGAGACCTTCTTACAAAAAGTATGAAGGGAAAGTGAGCATTTCTGTAAAAAATTAATTCACCATGATAGTATTTCTGTGGATTCTCTGCTGCAGTTATTCAAGCTGTGTACTGGCAGTGACCATTCTTTCCTGTAAACTAGTTTAAAATTCTTCTGGATTCTGTGCTTATCCTTGTACTTCCATGCTTCTACTCTTCTGAGTCATAAATTAACCACGTAATTTCACAGCACACTAAAATTGGAAGGCTTTCAGAAGGAGAGAGGTTAATTTCAGTTGAAATACTTCTGACTTTCACTATCAATAAGGTGAAAATGAGAGGTTTTCTAACTCAAATATTTTGTCACTAGTAAAAAAAAAGTTATTTTCATTATTATAGTACACATTACTGTTGCAGACTCTTGTTCTATATTATATGAAATTGTTACTATAATAGTTTCTCTCTAATGCATAAACATTTCGTAGATTATAGGATTTCAAGGCCTTAGCCTTTCCCTAATATAATTCAGTATGTTTCCAGTCCTTTTGAGACTTTGAAAATTATTACTAATCTGACTTTAGTCTTAAAAGAATTGCAGAAAATATAGTTTCCTTGATTTGTGAAGTAAAAAAAAAAATGTTCTGACCGTTAGTGAGTAACGACAGGTTTCTGTAAATGATATCAAGAGCAAGAGCTATAAGGTGGTGAACCCAATGCTGTTTATGAGGGAGGATGAGAAAGGTACCAAAGTACTTCTGAGGAAGGTGCCAAGTGGAGGGTGGGGACAACTATGTCTGAGCCATTACTTATATTGCTACCCAGGAATGAAGCCCACAGTTTACAGTATCAAGCTGAATAGCCATTAGCAGCACTTGGAATGGATTTAGGATAGGGCAGAGCTGAAAGATAGGAGCAGTGCCAGAGCAAGAGGTAGGAGAGGGAGGCTGGAAACTCAGAGGAGCGGGAAGTCACTCACTAAACCCCTGCACTTCCTTATAGTTAGACAGTTCATCTATTTAAAGGGCTGGACCTCATCTTCTGCTGAACTCAATAGATCTGCTGTGCAGTAAACTCAGCGGCTAGAATGTGCTAGCACAGATGAAGCCCACCTAGCCCAGTACGATAACGTGAAAGAGTACATGGTAAGAAGCCATAAAGTATATGGAAAGCTTTTGATTCTTTTCAGATTTTTTTGGCATACTTACAACAAATGATGACAAAGCTGCAAAGAACTTCCTTTGTTTGAGATCCAAGTAGTGTAAGACCAGTGCAAGGTGTTAATGACAGTATTTTTTTCATCTTGCTTTTTTTGGGATATACAATATCAGAAAACAACTGTGCGGTGTGCATGTTTAAAAAGTTGTACTTACCTGTTAATCATTAAATTTATAATTGCTAAACTGATGGAAAGCATATAGTTTTATTTTTGTAATGGAAAAGAAGACAATTTACTATCTCTCAGCCTAGCCTTCCCAAAATACTGGTGTTACAAATAAGGTCATTGTTCTGCAGTATGAATCACTGCCAACTGTGGGCTCAAAAATGTCTGTCTGAAATAAAGCTTAACTGTCAGCTCCATTCCATACAACCCAGTTTTTCCCACAGTCAACCTCTCATTTACTTCAGTGAGGAATAATTCTTATCAGTGAACTTCCTTACTGTAGTAACAATGTACAACTAGCCCTACAAGCTTCTATAGCAGGCTGTGAATACTTAAGCAAATCCTTTAACCAGTCAATATGCTTTTATGTTAACCTACATGTGCAGAGATTAATGTTTAGGCCTTTTCTCATACCACTGTCTTCTGTGGGTATTTATTTCATTTATTTTATTTTTTTCAGTTGTGATCCAGTGTCAGCTAAGACAACTTTAACGAGGTCAGAGGCTTTTTAAGGCATCCAAAAGGTGAGTGCTTTCATCTTGTGTAAACACATCCCCTCCATGAAAGAAAAGTCTGTGGTGCTTAAAAAAGCTATAAGAAAACTGTAAAAGGATCATATTAATATAGCAAAAAGACTATTTAGGCTCCCTTTATTAGCACTGCAGGTTTCTGATACATTAACAAAGGTATGTGTTCCAAGAGAAATGGTCACTTTTAGATCTTTATTAAGGTTTTTCAATAAAAGGTTTTAACTGAAAAGGAAGGGAGCAATGAGGAGAAAATAAACCTGCTACAAATTCATAGTTGTCTTGATGATGATAAAAATTTTGTGCAGATGCAAACCTTTGTTGTTGCTTTCATTGTTTCAGTGGCATTCTAAGCTTTTAAAGACAACTTTGTAGTATGTGCCATTTTTTCTCCTACAAAATAAATTTAAAAATTAAACTGGTCCAAATTCTGGTCTCATTTATATCAGTACAAATTCCAGTGAACTTCACTAAATTCTGTGTGTGTAGAGACAGTAATGAGAAAAACCTCAGATGGATATTATTTAGCCACTGGAGTCTTGCCTGCAACCAGGTAATTAGGAGAAGATGTAGGAAACTCAAGAGAATCTGTTCCTGTTACTAAAGTAATTATGTAATTAGGACAAAAGTAAATCATGTGGTAGCATTTTAGGCCATGGAGAACATATGTCTGCATTTTAGAGAATACTAAGCACAGCATGAAACCCAAATCCTCATTTTTAAAACTTACTATAAACAAATCTGAAATAACAATAGGCCGGATCTGTGATGTCCGGCTGGGAGTTATGTTCGCATCAGCAGAAAAATTGAATCAAAGGTGACTAACTGCTCTGAGCTCAGCTATACAGAAAAGTTATTCAGATAACGGGTATGTTAAAAGTGTGAAATCTTTGTGGCAATAAACGAGACATATCTAAGATAAAGCTAATTCTCTGTAAAGCCTGGAGAATATTGTAAAAAAATGACAGTCCACTCAAATACTTGCTCGTGAAAGTATTGTATCAGTCTAACAAAAAGGTGTTTTTCAAGTTCCTTAGACATAATCTTTTATGTCTTTAATTCTCTAACAGGTAGGCACCAAGTGAACTTTTTGAAAGTTGAGTCCTGTAGCAATAAAGCAAATACATGTATGTTTGATCTCTTGTCATTCTCCTACTATGCCACCAGAATTATGCTGTGTATTTCTTGGTCACACAAGACAAAACTAGTGGGAAAGAAAGAGGTTAAAAACAGCTATGAAAGGGGATGACCACTAGAAAAGCTTAAAGGTGGTACTCTGGGCTGAAGAAAACTAAGACTAAGGGAGAGGACAGACTGAAGTAATTAGTATCTGCTTATACTTTGATACCTGTTGAGTTTGTAGC